GCAATCCAGTTTTAGTTTTGCCCAGTTTCTCAGTTTCATGGACAAAAAACACTCAAACCCCTGGTGCTGAGCCACCCACCTCCCGCCAGCCGTGTCGCAAGGAAAAGTGAGAGTAGCCTGAGGGAAGCTTAGATGGCACCTCTGGATGTTGCAGAGGTAAGAAGTCACGGTACTTGGACCCACAAGTGCTGGCAAAAACCCTCCGCTTTTTGATCTGGTTTAAGTGTCCATAATTTTGACCCACAACATATGCGAAGCCAATAATTACAAAGAACATCAATGAACCATGAGGAACCATGGGTGGCATAGGGTCAAACTTAGGGAATTCAAGAAAGAACAGCGATTGACGTGCCCTTGGGTGCCCCCGCTGGGTTCGACTGCTGCGCGACTACCAGGTGTAACCAAGACCACCTGAAAACGCGTGAAATCGAGGCAGAAGTGGTACAACTTCTTTGCCGCGACATGGGAGCAACAATAATTAATGAGGAGACCCTAGCAATGAAAACATGCAATTCATTCATGTGTGTATAATTAGGTATCATTACAATAATTAGCATGTTTCCTTTCATCTAGCCCCTTTCATCTAGCCCTGAAATAACCGATATCTAGGTAAACATACCATGATTCATGGGGTTGACAATGAAATGATCATCAATAAAAATATATTAAAATGGCTATGGGAGTGTCAACAAACTAAGTGTACCTTTTATCTGGCTAGATGAAAACCAATATACCAGTCATACCCCGAAATATCCCTTCGTCATGACATGTATCATGTATATGTCAACCCAATGTCAAACCTGAATTTATACTCTCCTATGTAGTTGGATTAATTTTGGGTTCGATATAAACAATATATGATCATAACTTAACAATACTTAACATAACATAACCATACATGATCATTTCTTGGGTGGCTCATCCCACTAAATCTGTCAGCCAGGTTTTATGAAAATTCAGGGTTGACATGTAGGTACACTATGGCTCAAAATATAGTGGTTTATACTACAAATTGGGGCACACCACTGTTGTATGTTTGTTTGGTTTGACAATGCCCACTGTTAGATCTCTCCACCGTAGATCCTATAAGATCCTATAATTATATAGTTACAAACCATCAGAAACCAGCGGAATTTTCATCATCCAAATCAAGTCTTAATCCCCAATGTTGTTGACCAATTTCCCAATTCGGTCGTCTAATCCCAACTTTTTTTCGTTGCATTCTTTGCTTCACGGCACCTCGATGGCCCCGAAGTTGCGCAACTTCGCTTCCATGGCTCGCAGCCTCTGATGCACCTGTCAATGATGAAACCACGAATCATGGTTATCTAATGTTATCTATTTCTACATTTCTACATATATTTGGATCCATAGTGCATATTATTCAATGATATACATATTTACATATATATGTGCATGTGGTTACTGTAATATATCTTTCTATGGTTATTGTACACATATATATATAATATATATCACTTGTATTTTTATATTTCAGCGATAGGAGGGCCGAGAAATGAGCATATATACAACATATACAGCAACATTTAGACATGTAGCTATATATATATATACAGTATGATTACTGTATAATCAAATTGGCGATCATCATTTTTGCCTCTCGCGAGAGGTAAACTGTTTGAATTGGTGGTGTGGGATGCCAAAAAATGTTCATGAAACTCATGCTGCCAGCTTTGGATGACTGCTTGGCAGCAATTTTGAGGACAATTTCATGATGCCAGCAGTTCATGATGCTAGTTACCACAACGCTCATCCAATGATTCCAGTCCAAATTTGTTCCCCCAAAAAAACTGCATGGCTAACGGTCCCAAAAAATCGTCTTTGTCAAAATCTATCAAAATCTCAAGTTAACTGGGTCTTACGTCTTACATCCCATTTTCATCCATACAACCAGTGCCTGATCCACGTCGACGGAGTCCAACACAATGATGTGCAAACGACCTGCTAGAGCATGGGAGCTGGTACTCTGTAAGATTTTTGTTTTCTGAGATGTGATGGATACCCCGAGGCAACAAAACATGGTTTGCTGGAAAACAAACACGTTCATTTCTATGTATATATAATTATATGTAATATATGTCTCATACTTATCTACGTGTACTATGCTGTGTATGAATATTTTTTGGGAACTTTCTATCGCCATGCTTACTTAAGCAAGAGATGTGTTTACCACTACAGAGTGTATTGCGCAGCCATGCTGCTGGTACCAAATCATCATCACTTCAGTAGTCAACAAAACGTAGCCTATTCAAAAACTACACAGAAAAGGGCACTTGTTCTTGCACTTTACTCTTCAGTAATACCCAACAGCCTCAGGTCATTAGCCTATATTAGCCTGTTATAAAGTCCCCGCGCCTGGTGATTTGGCGTCATCGATGGCCTCCTTCTTTTCGTCGAAACCCAAGGACAGATTTGGGCTGCCTGGCAGCTCTCTTCAGGATGGAGAATACTTGGCCCGAAGCAAAATTTATTACGGGCACTCAAAAGCCTGAATCGTTTAATAATTTTGACTGGTGTCATGTATTGTGGTTTGATTTGGTGTGTGTTCTTTTTTTGCTTTCTGGATCGCGCACAGTTTATGGGTGCCATTATATTGTTAGCAGAAAATGCTACTTGGAAAGCGGATGCACATTGAAACTGAATACAATCGTGAAAACAGAGGAGGAGCCCAGATTTGGATTTCTGATGATAGTACCACACAGACGACTCATTCTTACTTGGCTGCTACAATTCAATCCAACACCCAACTATTGTATACTATTGTACCAACTCTCATATCCATTCACGAAATTAGTGTCATCCCCAAACCCAATGCTGGCTGGAGCGTGGGGGTCTCCCAGGTTGACGAACGGATCAACACTTGGCAGTCAATGACTTAGACGATGTTTCAATGACTTGGACAATGTTTCATACATCTGCGTATGTCAATCGGTCAATTGGACTCCATCGTCTGTGCATCTCTAATTGAAGCATCAAACCTTTTCGTTCCAAGGTGGAGCCACCCATTCCAGAATTCCTGGCCAAAAAATTCGTCATCATCCCAAGTAGGACAACATCAAGCCAAGAAACGAACCAAAGTGAAACCATCAACCAGGTTTGGATCGGAAAAAAACCTACCACTAACCTGATTTGGATCTATTTGGATTACACATCATCCGCACATCCGCCAAAAAAAATCCACCAACAGGTCCCCAAACTTCCACCGATTTCCACCGAGGTGCTTAGGTATTCCTCCAGCGCCTTGCTGTGCGGCAAGACCTTGGCCGAGCCTTGCCATACCTCAGGCGAAAACCAGAGCCAACACTCACCATCGAATGACTAGTGACCACAGATCCACTTACAACCCGTAATGTGGTAAAATCAGGTATCACGGTATCAAGTGAAAGTAGTTGAGACTACAACATACTACAACCTGTTTTTCAATAACATGTGCCCATGTAATGCCCAAGCCACACTCATGGTGCCGGCCACTGCGACACCAGGGTTACGAAAGCGCCACCTGAGGGGCAAAACACAGAAAACTCAGAAAATCCCTGAGGCTGAAGGTGAAGGAATCTGGAAAACCGTCAAAACCCCATGCATTTGCCTTGATGTTTCGATCCTAATCTTAATCTATGTTCTCAGCTAGCCAGTTAGATACCTTTTTCATCCTTTTTCCACTAAATCATTGTTGCAAACTCGGATTGTTTCCCTCCCAAAAAATGCCAGGGATTGTTTGGATGTCCCAACTCCGAAAATAGACTTGCAAATAGAAATCGCCATCTCAGAATATCAGATACCTAATGACACAACAAGACTCAAACATGATTCTTTTGCAGCAAAAATAAAAACTCGGACACACAACGATTTGTCAAACGTGTCCAGCCATTCATGTGCTTTTATCCTTTCCTCTTGGAAAATCAGGGTTTGGGCGCCCAATCTTCTGACCCAGTTCAATCCCCAGAAATACTTGGATCTTGACATACTGTGAACACGCGCAAACCAATCAAAAAATGGAGATTTGTAGCTTAAACACTTACACAAGTCAATCATCCATGGAACTGGTAAATACCCTAATAATTAGATATAATTAGCCTAAGCTATCAAAATCACAAAAGTTCAACCCTCCACCATTTTCCCGGCTCCCACGGCACCCCACGGCACCTGGCTCCCATGATCCCCGGCCCCTGCGTTGCCACCGCCAGGTGGGAGCTGCCGCTAACACCGCAGGCGCGGTAGCTGCGCCGCACGAAGACTTCCAAGGCGCGGCCCCGCAGCACGGCGTCCGAGTCGCTGAAGAGCGACAGCAACAGATTGCCTAAGGATGGGATGTGGATGGAATTCATCGATATCAATCATTATAAAATCATGAATAATCCCATGTCATGCCATGAAATGCTGGTTGGTTAAGGGTTAGATGATGTTAGATATCTGACGATATTTTTTTTGAAGACATTGGGTAGTATAACCCCTAGGATCATCAACCGAGAGGGGTCTTGGGCGCTTGGTCGGACTACATGGGATTCATGGGGTGCGGTTGTCCCGCCACGACTGGGGAATCCGTCGAACGGGGGATCCCATAGTTTCTATATACCAATAGTTGGGATCCCAATGAATGTGATGAACCCAACGACATAACATAAACCTGCAAATCTGAAGGGTGCATACTACCTATCTGGTGAAATTGGGGATGGTTTATTGATTGGAAGATGGGATTAGGGGTGGGATCAGGTACCCCCAAACAATTCGTTTTCCTATTAGAACTCAGCAATTTCACCAAATTTGGATGATCACTTGGTTTCCAGCATTTTCACACACTCACTTGAGCAGTGTTCAAAAATCCGAAACGTCATTACATGAAATGCTGGCTGGTTAAGAACGGAATTCCCAGTTCATTGGTGATGATCATCCCCAATATTTTTGGGTATCCTTCTAATGGGCATATCCAAGCCTACTAATGACTATAATATGTACTATAATTATAATGGATTGATGAACACTCCTGACCATTGGTGCCACCCACGTCCAAGAATCCTCCAGCAGCTTGAGCGGACCAGGTGGAAATCTTTCCAGCCTGGGCGCCGTGCCCAAATGGTTTAGTCCCAAACATCGGGAATGGGGGCCAAATGTGTAGCAATTTCAACGGGGACACTGATGATATGGGTATATATATATATACAGGGATTTGGGGATTCCATATTTGGAGACATCACCAGTTGATCCCTCATGGTTGTTGCCGAACAAATGAAAATCCCTATTGCCACATAAACTCTGTCCCACGGACAATCTTAGATATCTTAGATATACCTCTGTTGCTTTTCGAGGACTGAACAGGACCTGCCTACTTGCTGCGGATCATGCTTTCTACTTTGATGTTTCAAAAGTGTTGCTTTGCATTTCCAAGCTCCACCCTATCACGACATGAATTGTATTACTGTATACATATATATATATGTATATATATATATATACTGTAATATAATCGGTTGGTATCAGCCTGCCAGGTAGTTAGGGATGATGGAACACAGGAACATGCGAGTTTCGAAACTGCGGTTTGGTATTGGATGTGGTATGGGGAAGCACCGGAAATTCTCCACTTTGGGAAAAATGAACCACCCGTCCCAAGATTACAAGTAGTAGTCCCTACGTTGCAGACCTAACAAAGGCCTTAGTTCCGAGGAACAAGTATGTACTCACTATGAACAGCACAGTACCCCAGTGAACAACAGCAATGCTCACAATGCCGCAATGCAAGGATATACCCCGGAGCCGGTGCAGGAATCATGGTCCCACAGGATAAGCAGTCGTTGGTCCTGTAAGGTTATTGAAGTTCTGTGGAGCAGCTGAATTAGTTCCCAGAAGAAGATCAACAACATCCAAAAAGCTTCATCCAGAAAAAATCATAAGACTCCGCAAAAGAGGAACCCAGTGATCCAATACTAGACCTGTGCACCCTTTCAGTATTGCCTATGTGTTTTTAACAACCAAACATAGTTTCCAAAGGTTCCATGTATGGGACGGGTTCTAGGTATGTATATATATATAAATACCGCATATAGATATGCATAGATTCCCTTTATACCCAAATATGGGTATATATGCGTTATGTCTGGGGAACATGTTGGTAGACAAGACATATTGGGGGCATTTTGGGGTCGGCCACGTCCCGTCATCTGTTTTTTGTGGGTTGGGCCGGCTTTGACGACAAGTCACTGACAATTCCTTCTTGCTGCCACTGTCCTGCGGCATTCCATGCAGTTGATGAACCAGAAAATTTGGGGAATATCAATGGTTGTTCAGAATAGACGGTTTCGACAACTAGATCCCAACTGATCTTTCAATGAGCCAAGTTGACAATATGAGAAGATCCACCACTCTCATTACAATCATTACAGCCCGGAAGCCAAACGCTAGCATCCAGCAGTCTTCCATAATCCTGTTTGATACCACGGGTACACAGTCAAAGTTCCTCATGACACAATGTTTAAAGCCAATGGCTGTGGTGCCGTCTGTTACATCTCAAGTATTGATGATACATCATAGAATATGTTATTGGAAAGGACAAAGACATCAAATGCAGCAAGCTCGCGCAACCACAACTATGTTCTATTGTTCTGAAGCCCCACCTGACGATAAGACATGCCATTCACCAAATGGTTATGTTTCTACAGTAGATGAAGTTCTCATCGAAAGTAGTTGATCGAAACTGCAGAAAGGCATACCCTGTTTTTCATACTTTGGTAGATCTGTACATTTAATTCAGACATGTTGCACCAATTGACATGTCACTGAACCCTTTTACCAACTGCAGTCGACGTAGCTGCCCTTTTGAAGCTCAAACACTCGAGCTGCTGCCGTGAAAACAGAGAAGGCGGCTGCTTGCAACGTGGACGAGGTGCGGAGAACCTGGAATTTGGGACCTGGACATTTCCAGGTTATGAGCCCAAGCGGTTCACTGGGCAGATGAGTGAGTTCCATAGGAGAAGGGCCACCAAAGAAGAGATGGAGCAGGGTCAAAAGGAGATAAGACTAGCTGATGAAAGAATGAAAACAAAGGCTGAGAGTAGGGGTGAGATGCCTATACAAAACGGACCTGAAGAAAAACCTGAGGATGTTGTAGAAGGGGAAACGTCTCCACCGAAAGAGGGTAAGAGAGATGAACCTCAAAGAGGTACCCCTGCAAGGAATTCCAATCAGGGTTCAGGTGCCAAAGCGTTGTTGCCGCCTACACAACCTCCTCCTGATCCTCCTGCCCTTTCTCTACGTCAAGAGGTGGTGAACTCCCTTGAGAAGAATACGCCCGCCGACAAGGGTGAAGGCAACTTCAATGGTGGACCTTTGATGAGGGAGATTGCAACTCCCCCTGAACAACAAGCAGGAGATGATGCAAACCAAGTGCAAGGGCAATCCATGGCACCCCCGTTGTTCACCGAGGAGCAGCTGAGAAACTTTGCTGCACTGCAGGGACAAGCCGCATGGATGTATGGGCCCCAACAGTCGTTTTTCAATCCAATTGGTTTTTCACGTCCTTCATTTTTGGATGGAGATGCAGCCAGAGCTTCAGTGAGTCAACATGAAAGAGACATGGAGTTTCTGAGAATGCAAGCAGTGAGAGACCGAGAGGAGAAAGACGAATGTAGAAGGCAGATTCAACTGTTGGTAGAAGAGAACCGTCAGTTGAGAGCCAGATTTGAAAGTGCTAGCAAGATGCAGACTGAGGATGAACCTAGGTTTGCGACTCCTGAGGAACAGCCGGATCAGACCAGCCCAGGTTTCGACATGAATGTGGATTGGTTGAAGCGGCGAAAGGAGGCTGACAGACCCCCATCAAAGGAGGCTGACAGACCCCCATCAAAGGAGGCCGACAGACCCCCATCAAAGGAGGCTGCCAGACCCCCATTCCTACCTGAGGCTGCAGAGTTCAAAACCCCCAAGGAGGCTGCCAGACCCCCAAAGGTGGAAGCATCACAGCGTCCCCAAGAAGAAGGAAGCCGAGGTGCACCTGGTGGAGGGAATGCGCAGTTCACTGAGAAATCTTTGGAGTTCATGGTGATTATGATGGAAACTATGAAGGACCTACACAAGAAGGTCAACGAGACAAAGGATGAGACTGGCATGGTTCGAGGAGTTGAGATTGTGAGGTCCGGCACTCCTGACCTGCCGGTGTTGACCCCCTGGTCACCAAGCCAGGGTCCCCTCCAGTTGGGAGATTGGCTTCTGACTGTGGAGCCGATCATAGCTGATTTGTCAGCAACTTCAGAAGTGTGGTGGTCGCTGATGGTGAAGTCTGCAGAGCAGTGGTACCAGAAGCACATGATGATGCCCCCACTAGATCGAGTTCAACATGAAGTTCAACCGCCCCCAGAGGTCACCTTGGAAAAATGGTCCAGGTTGGAAAGAAGAACGGCATCGATGCTGCTTCAATCTGTGCCGGAGGTGGTCAAGGAGGAGTTGGTTTCAGCTCGACGGCTGAGCGTTTTTGGGATTTTGACGCAACTGCTGTTGACGTATTGCCCAGGTGGTGTCTTGGAGAAGCAGACATTGCTGAGAAGTTTGGAGGAGCCAACAGAGGTCACCACGGTGGGCGAGGCTCCTGCTGCAATACGTCGGTGGCTACGTTGGAAGCTGCGGTCCCAGGAGATCGGTGCAGTGACCCCAGACCCGGCACTGTTGTTGAAAGGTCTGAACAAGTTAACACGCCGAGTCCTGGAGTCCAACAAAGAACTACAATTCAGGGTCAGCCTGGCCCGAAATTCCCTTGGTGTGGATACGAGGCCGACCGACACCACAGTCAGCCAGTTTGCCACGCACCTTTTGGCTGAGATCGAACAAGTTGCTCTTTCCGAAAAGAGGGCCACTGCTGCGATGCCAAAGGGCGAGGTGAAGATCAAATACTTGGACGCAGACAAGAACAAGCCAAAGACTAAAGAGAGGTCTACAGAGGAGGACAAGCCGAAGCCAAAATGCAGGTTTTTTCTCACGGATGCTGGTTGCAAAAGGGGAAAGGAGTGCACGTTTAGCCATGATGTCAAAGATGATCGTCGCAGGTGTTACAACTGCGGCAGTGTGGACCACCTTTCACCAAGCTGCACCAGGTCAAAAGGCGCTTCTACCGAAACAAGCCCCAACAAGCCGAGGGTTGCCAAGGCCGAGGGGGAGGAGCGCAATGTGACTTCACCAATGAAGGAGTCAGAGACTGGAAGCCAATCTAGTCAAGGGGAGGCAGTGAAGGACTTGCTGGAGGAGGCCAACCGGATGTTGAAGTCTCTGTCGAGCTCTTCCAACACTATTGCTTCTACAACCTCTTCGACGTCTGAAGAAGAGCGAAAAGATGTGATGGAGCGCCTTCATCAGCAGCTGAAGTCGATGAAGACGTTCAAGATGAAGAGACTCAATGTTGGGAACGACGTTGGACTTGTGGATTCAGGTGCAACACATCCACTTCGTCCTAGACATGAAGGCGAGAATGTGGATTTGTACCCGGTGGTGGAGGTGGCATTGGCAGATGGAAGGACGGTGAGGTTGAAGATGTCCCCTGGAGGTGCTATGATATCACCTTCACCTGCCATCGAGCCTATCATCCCCATGGGCTTGTTGTCGCAGAAGCTGAACTGTGACATTTCCTGGAAGCAAGGATCTATGCAGATCCACCATCCTCTGAGAGGAGAAATCAAGGTGATGATGAAGGGAAGTTGCCCCCATGTTGCCAGATCTGAGGCTTTGACGTTGATTGCGGAGCTGGAGGACATCAAGATGGGCATTCCCAATGAGATTGGAAGTTTTGATGCGGAAGTGGCATGGCTGAGAAAGCTGGTGTCGCAACATCCAGTGCTGTCTTCACTCCCAGAGCACATCAAGGAGCGGCTGGTGGTGGAGCCTGGAACTTGGTCTGATCTTCCAGGCAACAGACACTCAAGAAAGCGCTGGAAGAGGAGTGGCTTAGCAGTTCATTTGTATGCTGGGCCAGAAACAGGGTTCACTTTGCGGCATGCCATCAAACAGCTGGGTGGTTCTGTCGATGCCTTGTTGGAAGTTGATGTTCAACGAGGAGAACAACATGACATGCTGTCGGACCACGCAGTTTATCGTGGTCTGTTGAGGGTGGCTTTGGAGGGAAAGATCAATGCGATCGTTGGTGGGCCAAACTGCAGGACGAGAAGCTTGCTGAGGCACATCCCCATTCCAGGGCAGCCTAGTGCCCCGAGGCCGATTCGCCGCTGGGGAGGTGAGGAGTTTGGTATTCATGATGCAACAGAAGAGGAGAAACAGAAGCTTCATGAAGACGATGTTTTGATGTGGCGTTTTTGGTTTTTGTTCCCGAGAGCGCCTGCGAAGGGTTCTTCGTAAAAAAGCAGCCGTTATACTACATCTTCACACCTTCACATCTGCTGATCTACATCTTCACACCTTCACACCTGCAGATCTAGATCTTCACAACTTCACACCTGCAGATCTAGATCTTCACACCTTCACACCTGCAGATCTAGATCTTCACACCTTCACACCTGCAGATCTAGATCTTCACACCCTCACATCTGGACATCTAGATCTTCATACCTTCACACCTGCAGATCTAGATCTTCACCCTCACACCTGCAGATCTAGATCTTCACACCCTCACATCTGCAGATCTAGATCTTCACACCTTCACATCTGCAGATCTAGATCTTCACACCCTCACACCTGCAGATCTAGATCTTCACACCCTCACACCTGCAGATCTAGATCTTCACACCCTCACATCTGCAGATCTACATCATCACATCCTCACATCTGCAGATCTACATCTTCACACCCTCACATCTGCAGATCTACATCATCACACCCGCACACCTGCAGATCTAGATCTTCACACCCTCACACCTGCAGATCTAGATCTTCACACCTTCACATCTGCAGATCTCTTCTCGCTCTTCGTCTATTCTCTCTTAAGGCGGGGGCGGTGCCGCCGGAGCGCCACGAAACGCAACCCTTTCGCACGAAATGGACGTTGGACGTCCAAAACCTAGGTAAAATTGCGATTTTGAAGCGTCGGCGGCAACCCTTTCGCACGAAATGGACGTTGGACGTCAAAAACTGAGGAAAAATTGCAACTTTGAGGTGTCGCGCGCAACCCTTTTCGCACGAAATGGACGTTGGACGTCAAAAACTGAGGAAAAATTGCAACTTTGAGGTGTCGCGCGCAACCCTTTCGCACGAAATGGACGTTGGACGTCAAAAACTGAGGAAAAATTGCACTTTGAGGTGTCGCGCGCAACCCTTTCGCACGAAATGGACGTTGGACGTCAAAAACTGAGGAAAAATTGCGACTTTGAGGTGTCGCGCGCAACCCTTTCGCACGAAATGGACGTTGGACGTCAAAAACTGAGGAAAAATTGCGACTTTACTTTGTCAATCGCAACCCTTACGCACGAAATGGACGTTGGACGTCAAAAACTGAGGAAAAATTGCGACTTTACTTTGTTATTCGCAGCCCTTATGCACGAAATGGACGTTGGACGTTAAAAACTGAGGTAAAATTGCCATGGACGCTTTCGTTTGTGTAAAAGTGCCTGTGTGTAAAAGCGTCTGTGTGTAAAAGCGTCTGTGTGTAAAAGCGTTTGTGTGTGAAAGTGTGTGTGCGTGTGTAAAAAGCATCTGCGTGTAAAAGCGTCTGTGTGTAAAAGCGTCTGTGTGTAAAAGCGTTTGTGTTTCAAAGTGTCTGTGTAAGTGTCTGTTGTGTGTAAAAGCGTCTGTGTAAAAGCCTCTGTGTAAAAGCGTCTGTGTGTGAAAGTTTTGTTTCTGTGTAAGAGCGTCTGTGTGTAAAAGCTTCTGTGTGTAACAGCTTCTTTGTGTAAAAGTGTCTGTGTGTAAAAGTGTCTGTGTGTAAAGGAGTCTGTGTGTAAACGCTTCTGTGTGTGAAAGTGTTTGTGTGTAAAAGGGTCTGTGTGTAAAAGCGTCTGTGTGTAAAAGTGTCTGTGTATAAAAGCTTCTGTCTGTAAAAGCGTTTGTGTGTAAAGGAGTCTCTTTGTAAAGGCTTCTGTGTGTAAAAGCCTGTGTGTGTAAAAGCGTCTGTGTGTAAAAGCCCCTGTGCAAGCATCTGTGTGTAAAAGCCTCTGTGTGTGTGTGTGTAAAAGAAAAGCGTGTGTGTGTGTGTGCGTGTGTGTGTAAAAGCTTCTGTTGGTAAAAGTGTCTGTGTGTAAAAGTCTCTATGTAAAAGCCTCTGTGTGCAAGAGCGTCTGTGTGTAAAAGTGTCTGTGTGTAAAAGCTTCTGTGTCTAAAAGCGTCTGTGTGTAAAGGAGTCTGTGTGTAAAAGCTTCTGTGTAAGAGCGTCTGTGTGTAAAAGCTTCTGTGTGTAACAGCTTCCTTGTGTAAAAGTGTCTGTGTGTAAAAGTGTCTGTGTGTAAAAGGGTCTGTGTGTAAAAGTGTCTGTGTGTAAAAGCGTTTGTGTAAAAGTGTCTGTGTAAAAGAGTTTGTGTGCAAAAACTTCTGTGTGTAAAAGCGTCTGTGTGTAAAAGCCTCTGTGTAGTAGCCTCTGTGTGTGAAAGTGTGTGTGTGTGTAAAAGCGTCTGTGTGTGTGTAAAAGCGTCTGTGTGCAAAAAGCGTCTGCGTGTAAAAGCGTCTGTGTGTAAAATTGTCTGTGTGTAAAAGGGTCTGTGTGTAAAAGCGTCTGTGTGTAAAATCGTCTGTGTGTAAAAGCGTCTGTGTGTAAAAGCGTCTGTGTGTAACAGCTTCTTTGTGTAAAAGTGTCTGTGTGTAAAAGTGTCTTTGTGTAAAAGGGTCTGTGTGTAAAAGCGTCTGTGAGTAAAAGCTTCTGTGTGTAAAAGCGTTTGTGTGTAAAAGCGTCTGTGTGTAAAGGAGTCTGTGTGTAAAAGCTTCTGTGTAAGAGCGTCTGTGTGTAAAAGTGTCTGTGTGTAAATGCGTCTGTGTGTAAAGGCGTCTGTGTGTAAAGGTGTCTGTGTGTAAAAGCTTCTGTGTGTAAAAGCGTCTTTGTGTAAAAGCGTTTGTGTGTAAAAGCGTCTGTGTGTAAATGTCTCTGTGTAAGCGTTTGTGTGTAAAAGCCTCTGTGTGTGAAAGTGTGTGTGTGTACAAGAAAAGCGTGTGTGTGTGTATGTGTGTGTGTGTGGGTGTAAAAGCTTCTGTGTGTAAAAGTCTCTGTGTAAGCGTCTGTGTGTAAAAGCCTCTGTGTGTGAAAGTGTGTGTGTGTAAAATAAAAGCGTGTGTGTGTGTGTTTGTGTGTAAAAGTGTCTGTGTGTAAAAGTGTCTGTGTGTAAAAGTGTCTGTGTGTAAAAGCGTTTGTGTGTAAAGGAGTCTCTTTGTAAAGGCTTCTGTGTGTAAAAGCCTCTGTGTGTGAAAGTGTTTGTGTGTAAAAGCATCTGTGTGTAAAAGTCCCTGTGCAAGCATCTGTGTGTAAAAGCCTCTGTGTGTGTGTAAAAGAAAAGCGTGTGTGTGTGCGCGTGTGTGTGTGTAAAAGCTTCTGTTGGTAAAAGTGTCTGTGTGTAAAAGTCTCTTTGTAAAAGCCTCTGTGTGTAAGAGCGTCTGTGTGTAAAAGTGTCTGTGTGTAAAAGCTTCTGTGTCTAAAAGCGTCTGTGTGTAAAGGGGTCTGTGTGTAAAAGCTTCTGTGTAAGAGCGTCTGTGTGTAAAAGCTTCTGTGTGTAATAGTTTCTTTGTGTAAAAGTGTCTGTGTGTAAAAGTGTCTGTGTGTAAAAGGGTCTGTGTGTAAAAGCGTCTGTGTGTAAAAGCGTTTGTGTAAAAGTGTCTGTGTAAAAGTGTTTGTGTGCAAAAACGTCTGTGTGTAAAAGCGTCTGTGTGTAAAAGCCTCTGTGTAGTAGCCTCTGTGTGTGAAAGTGTGTGTGCGTGTGTAAAAGGGTCTGTGTGTGTGTAAAAGCGTCTGTGTGCAAAAAGCGTCTGCATGTAAAAGCGTCTGTGTGTAAAATTGTCTGTGTGTAAAAGCGTCTGTGTGTAAAAGTGTCTGTGTGTAACAGCTTCTTTGTGTAAAAGTGTCTGTGTGTAAAAGTGTCTGTGTGTAAAAGTGTCTGTGTGTAAAAGCGTTTGTGAGTAAAAGCGTCTGTGTGTAAAATCGTCTGTGTGTAAAAGCGTCTGTGTGTAAAAGCGTCTGTGTGTAAAAGCGCCTGTGTGTAAAAGCTTCTGTGTGTAAAAGCCTCTGCGTGTAAGAGCTTCTGTGTGTAAAAGCCTCTGTGTGTGTGAAAGTGTTTGTGTGTAAGAGCGTGTGTGTGCGTAAAAGCGTCTGTGTGTAAAAGCGTCTGTGTGTAAAAGCTTCTGTGTGTAAAAGCGTTTGTGTGTAAAGGAGTCTCTGTGTTAAAGCGCCTGTGTGTAAAAGCTTCTGTGTGTAAAAGCGTTTGTGTGTAAAAGCGTCTGTGTGTAAAGGAGTCTGTGCGTAAAAGCTTCTGTGTAAGAGCGTCTGTGTGTAAAAGTGTCTGTGTGTAAATGCTTCTGTGTGTAAAGGCGTCTGTGTGTAAAGGAGTCTGTGTGTAAAAGCTTCTGTGTGTAAAAGCGTCTTTGTGTAAAAGCGTTTGTGTGTAAAAGCGTCTGTGTGTAAAAGTCTCTGTGTAAGCGTCTGTGTGTAAAAGCCTCTGTGTGTGAAAGTGTGTGTGTGTGTACAAGAAAAGCGTGTGTGTGTGTGTATGTGTGTGTGTGGGTGTAAAAGCTTCTGTGTGTAAAAGTCTCTGTGTAAGCGTCTGTGTGTAAAAGCCTCTGTGTGTGAAAGTGTGTGTGTGTAAAATAAAAGCGTGTGTGTGTGTGTTTGTGTGTAAAAGCTTCTGTGGGTAAAAGTGTCTGTGTGTAAAAGTGTCTGTGTGTAAAAGCGTCTGTGTGTAAAAGCGTCTGTGTGTAAAAGCCTCTGTGTGTAAAAGCGTCTGTGTGTAAAAGCGTTTGTGTGTGAAAGTGTGTGTGTGTGTAAAAGCATCTGCGTGTAAAAGCGTTTGTGTGTAAAAGCCTCTGTGTATGACACAGGTTATTTCATTTTATTGTGGAAAATCCCACATAAATGGCACAAAAAGATCGGTACCATGATGCTGTAAATCACACATGTGACAAGACTTCACTAGTGAAATGTCTGCAAACGTTTGCACAAAAAAAGGTCCAATACCATAATGCAGTAAATGACACGCGTTATCTCATTTTATTCTGGGAATATCCCACAGAAACTATCAAAAAAGCTCGGTACCATGATGCCGTGTATGACACATGTCATTTCATTTTAGTATGGAAAATCCCACATAAATGGCCCAAAAAAGCTCGGTACCATGATGCTGCGTATGACACATGTTATTTCATTTTATTATGGAAAATCCCACATAATTGGCCCAAAAAAGATCGGTACCATGATGCTGTAAATGACACATGTGACAATACTTCACTAGTGAAATGTCTGCAAACGTTTGCAACAGAGCTCGATGCCATCATGTGCTTGATGTCAAAAACAGAACAGTTTGAGTTCAGGACCATAAAATGTCATATAGAGACACTCTTCAAAAGCTTCTGTGTGTAAAAGCCTCTGTGTATGAAAGTGTGTGTGTGTGTAAAAGCATCTGCGTGTAAAAGCCTCTGTGTGTAAAAGCGTCTGTGTGTAAAAGGGTCTGTGTGTAAAAGGGTCTGTGTGTAAAAGCGTTTGTGTGTAAAAGTGTCTGTGTGTAAAAGCTTCTGTGTGTAAAAGCATCTGCGTGCAAAAGCGTCTGTGTGTAAAAGCGTCTGCGTGCAAAAGTGTCTGTGTGTAAAAGCGTCTGTGTGTAAAAGTCTCTGTGTGTAAACGCGTCTGTGAAAGCGTCTGTGTGTAAAGGAGTCTGTGTGTAAAAGCTTCTGTGTAAGAGCGTCTGCGTGTAAAAGTGTCTGTGTGTAAAAGCGTCTGTGTGTAAAAGTCTCTGTGTGTAAACGCGTCTGAAAGTGTTTGTGTGTAAAAGCGTCTGTGTGTAATTTCACAACTTTCCCCTCCATAGCTCATATCAAATTCACCAACCATTCACCGACTATTTTTTACGACTACCATACTCAGAGCTGCTTGAAGGACGTGTTTTTCGCTCTCGGGCCAACCGTCGTCTAGTACATGGTTGCAGTGTACATGAGAAGGGCCAGAAAGGTTGAGACCGAAGTGACCGTCTCTGTGGAGCAGCCAGCAACCCCCAAGGAGTTCATGCCGGAGGTGGTGAGTTGGTGGGATACAAAAGAATGGGCAGAGCTGGCACGAGAGTTCAGCTTTGAGGAATCAACTTTCAAGCAGGGTGAGCTTGGTGGTCTGACCCCGAAGCCAACGACGTTTGGTGGGAACTTGGAGCTCTACGCAGCTGGTCATCAAAGGAGATGCAGAGCAGGAGAAAGGGTATCTTGCTCGTCCCAGCTTTCGAGATGGGCCCCAGGAGTGATGTCAATGGTCGCCTCAGCTTTGATCAGACAGGTTGAGGGCCCCACTTTTAAAGGGAAAGCTATGTCCTGGAGCGAGCATTTGGCTTTCAGGCATGTTCCATACAGGAGAGATTGTCGAGTATGCCAGGAGAGCTCACAACAATGCCCGCCTCATCGACTGGTCAAGGACCCAATTGCTGGAGTGCTTTCAATCGACACAGCTGGTCCACTGAAGCCTGCTTATGATTTGGGTGGGCACATGGCAAGGTATTTTTTGGTTGGAGTTTTGACCTGGAGGGTGCCAAAGGGGAGTGACAAGATGCAGAACCCCCCTGAAGAAGCAGCTTCTGAAGGAGCTCCGGAGATTGAAGAAGGAGCTGAGGATCCAGTTCCACCGGGTGAGGACGGATTGGAAGCTGAGGAGTTGCTTCCAGCCCAGCTCCCTGGTGAAGCGCCGGCTGAAGGAGAGCCTGGCGACGCCCCTGGTGAGGACGGGTTGGAAGGTCATGCAGATCTTCCAGTCCAGCTCCCAGGCGAGACGTTTGGACCCCCAACTTTGGATGAGGTCACAGAGTTGAGAAGGTTCAGAATGGCCTTGCCAATGGGTTCCAAAAAGGCGAGAGATGTGGTGAACACGGTGATGGAGTTCGTGTTGCGGCTGCGGACGGAAGGGTTCCATGTGGGCCGCATCCATTCAGACCAAGGTCATGAGTTTGCTGGCGAGTTCAAGACATGGGCCCGACAGCGTGGGATCTACCTCACCAAAGCACCAGGTGATGATCCAGCCGCAAACGGCAGAGCTGAAATGGCGGTGAAGGACTTCAAGAACCAGATCCGCAGAACGTTGAGGCAGGCCAGTGAAGATGCGAAATGGTGGCCATGGGCTTTGAGGTACGTCAATGAGGTGTACCGATGTGTCCGGATGGAGACAAGACCAAGTTGGCCAAGGTTTTTGGAAGAAGTAAGAGTCCGAAAGCGGACATGGAGGCGGGATGACCTGGACCCCAGAGTGGAGAAGGTTCAGTATCTATGCCCTTCAGTGGAAAACCATGGTCATTGGGTGATCAAAGAAGGCGAAGCCCCACGCCTTACGCGCTACATTTTGGCGCCCACCACTGAGCCGGAGGATGAGACGGTTTGGATTGCGGTGGAAAGAGAAGGGCGAGATGCACAAGAACAGCGACGCCGAATCAGAGGCAGATCAGCAGTGAGGAGAATGGATGCCTCAGTTGCAGATCCTGAGGAGGTGCTGGAAGAAAAGGAAAAGGCTGAAGTTCAAAGATTGATGAAGGTGGTGGAGGATGAGATGCAGTCCATCATCAACGACGACCCAGATCTGGCCGCCGAGGAAGTCAGAATTTTGGGAAGGCTGAGAAAAATGGCTGAAGTGAAGGAGGATGGAGATGAGATCCTTCAAACAAAGGTCATCTCACCAAAGGAGGTGGTCAGAAACTGGTCGGAGTGGATCCCATCAGTGAGAAGCGAGGTGGAGTCCCTGACCATTGAGAAGGCAGCCTTGAAGGAGCTGTCAAAGGATGAAGTCAAAGCGTTGAAGAAGAAGGCAGAAAAGGAGGGTAAGAAGTTGGAGATCATACCTTCCAAACTGGTGTTCACTGTGAAACCTTCCCCAGACCACAAAGAAGGGAAAAAGAAAACCCGGTGGGTTGTTTGCGGAAACTATGAGGAGAAGAAAGAGGGGGAGGAAAACTACTCAGGTGGTGCAGATGCCACATCTTTGAGGTTGTTGGCATGGATTGCATCCCGCATGAAGTGGGCCGGATGCATCCTGGATGTCAGAACTGCTTTCCTCAACGCGCAGATGGAACAGGAGCCGGATGAGGACCTTCTTTTGGTCCAGCCACCCCACATCTTGAAGGAGATGAAGTTTCTGGACCCGGATACACTGTACCTGCCATTGAAGGCAGTGTACGGCTTCAGGCGCTCACCAAAGCTTTGGGGTCTTCATCGAGACAAAACGATCAAGACCTTTGACATCAAGGTGGTCATTGATGGCCGCTGCGAAAGCCTGGAGCTGAAGCCGATGGAGTCAGAGCAGAACCTATGGAAGGTGGTTGTGGTCAGAGGAGGCTTCCAAGAGGCAGAAGAAGAATGGATCTCAAACGGCCGAGTCATTGGCCTTGTGATGACGTATGTCGACGACATTTTTATCGTCGCCGAGAAGCAGGTGGCGAAGTCAGTTGCTCAGAAGTTTCAAGAGACCTGGGCGACCACACAACCGGAGTGGGTTGGCGAGACACCAGTGAGGTTTTTGGGCCTGGAGGTGACTTGCCACCAAATCGAGGGGGAGGAGAAGGTCCAATGGTGTCTTTCACAAGAGGCATACATCAAAGACTTGCTTGGGCGCTATGAGGAGGAGGGAAAACCACGAAAGCTCCCTATCACCCGTGACCAAGCTTCGATGCCTCCAGATGTGATTCCCCCTTCGCCAGAAGGAGTCAAGTTTTCCCAGAAGGTCATCGGTGAGTTGCTTTGGCTGGTGACCCGAAGCAGACCAGATTTGATGTTTGGAGTTTCCAGGATGGGGGCCAACGTTTTGAAGGCCGCCAACTGCATCAAGGACACAGCAGCACAAATGAGGTCCTATCTCAGGAGAACTGCAGGTGAGGGCCTACAGTACAAGCAGAAGATCGATGACCCGATCACGCTGTATGTCTACTCAGACTCCAGCTTTGCACCCGAAGCAGATGAGTCCCATGGATCGTTTGTGGTTATGGTGAACGATGGGTTGATGTTTTGGAGAAGCGGCAGGCAGGGCACAATCACCTTGAGCACGGCCGAGTCAGAGTTGATGGAGCTCGTTGAGGCGATGATTGCCGGCGAGTCAGTTTACGTCGTGCTGGCAGAGCTGTTTGGTGAAATCTCAAAGGTGGCATTGTGCGATTCGCAAGCTGCACTGGCCATTTTGGTTGCTGAGGGCGGAAGCTGGAGGACAAGACACCTCAGGCTGAGGTGGGCGTTTGCTCGCCAATCTGTGCTGCGTGGTGACTGGCAGGTGGGTCATGTCCCTGGTGAGAAGATGTTGGCGGACCTGGGCACAAAAGTTCTGACCTCATCGAGGATGGAAACTTTGAAGCAGATGATGGGCATGGGAGTTGCTCAGCCCGAAGAAAAAGGTGTTGAAATGGAGAAGGATGAGAAAAAAGAAAAGGAGATCAAGACCGACTCAAAATCGGTCGCCACCATGGCCGTCAAGCTCATCACGATGGCGGCCTTGTTGTCAGTGTCAAAGGCTCAAGGAGATGAAGAAGACGATGAACCAGCAGGTGACTTCCACAACTTTATGGTCATCTACACGGTGCTGATCATTCTGACCACGCTGATGGTCCAAATCCTGTGGAAGGTAGGAGTAGGCGCATTGGGCGAAAACTGGAAAAGAAGGTTTTTTACCCGTGGCCGAAGTCTCCCCATGGGTGAGGAAACGTCAGTGGCAGAGGGTCGAGCATGTGCTGAGGTGTGCGGACCCGTGGAAAGACCACGGCATCTGCCCTCGGCTGCTGGGTCGTCAAACCAGCCAAGCCCCGCTGAGGACGGGTTGGGGATGGAGGAGGGATCCCCAGTCCAGCTCGCGGTGGCTGAGCAGCGACGCGCCGGTGAGGGCGGGTTGGGGCAGAGGGCCTCAGTCCAGCTCCCAGCTTCGGCTG